AGAGTCTAAACCCAACTCAAATTAAAAGAAATAAAGAAAGAAACAATCACAGTATTCCAGGTTTTCAGATCTAAAGAATCTGAAGCATGAGTATTTCATAGTTTTGATCACATGTTTACAAAAACCCAATTATAACATAGCCACTAATCTTTCCATTAGAGTCATGCGGTCATGCCACATGTTATCTTTCCATTAATATGATCAAATCTGGATTAGGTCACAACAATGTTGGAATCATAGAAACTTTAACTCGTTAGTAGTTCATATACTTTTTACATGTTTAATTGATATTAGTGCATTCATTTCCTTAATAACTATGATAGCACAAGGGGCCCATAGAACGTGTGGCTCAACTTTTGGTCCATTCTTTTTGCCAAAATTTTCAAATTTGTAGGGTTGTATCTTAAGGTAAACCATGTCTCCAATCTCTCGTTGTACCTCTCTCATATGCTTGTCAGCTTGTTTCATTTTGTTCTGAGCAGTAGCTCAATTCCTTTTCAAGTCTTCTAGCATTATGTTTCTTGCCGCTGTCATCTTGGTGACTTCATCTATACCAATCATACTTGCATCACCCTTTACCAAAAGTGGAGGTTCCTGCCCGTAAAGGGCCTTATAAGGAGTTCTTTCAGAGACACATGATAATTCGTGTTGTACCGGTATTCAGCCCATGGTAAGTAAGTTGACCATTTTTTAGGTTTACTTCATGTCATGCACCTTTGGTAGGTTTTTAAACACCTCTTAACCACCTATGTTTGACCATCTGTTTGAGGATGTATGTTGTACTATGCTTTAGTTTAGTGTCAGCCATTTTAAACAATTCAGTTCAGTGAAGCCATGCAACATGAAAATCTCCTGTGTAAAGACCTCAGCCACCCCTTTTGTAGTGTAGAGGTGTGATAAAGCCATGAAATGAGCAGACTGGGTCAACCTATCAACGACAACTAGGGTGGTGTCTTTTCCTTGGCTTTGGGTAGACCTCCATTAAAATCCATGCTGATATCAACCCGTACTTGAGTTGGAATGGGTAGAGGGTGTAGCAGCCATGTAGCACCGAGAGTTTGATACTTGTTTCTCTGGCAAGTATCACAATTTGGAAATTAATTCAGTTTATCAATAAAACAGGGCAAAGATCCTCTTCATTGTTTTAAAATGTTCTCCATGTCATCCAATGGCAGATTCGTGGAACTCTTTAAATATGAAAGCTATTCTGGCAAATTTTCTGTGTATCATGAGTCTGTCCTTAAAGTATAATAGTCCACTTCTTAATTTGAAACCAGGCTGGGATTCTGGTTGATTTCAGAGTTGTTTACTAATGCTAAAAAACTTTTGATCCTTCAAAAGTTCTTCCAACCCCTCCCACTCTTGACATGTTACCACTGATAGTGACTAACAACTGAACTTTCTACATAGAGCATTTGCAGCCTTGTTTGCTTATATTTAATTGTGAATGAGCCCAGATTTTAGCTCGAATGTGACCCCCGTATCAAGAGTTGGAAAAGTGATACATAAGGGTTGTTGATTAAGATTCGGAGCCGTGAGCTCCCTCAATGTTCTCGTTTCAAAATCCATAGTGATTGGCTCTTCGGTGTCGCTAGAATGAGAACTAGCTCTTGATGAGTCTCCCGAGTCGGTATTTGAGAATTTGATTTTCAACCGCTCGCTTAAAACTTGTGCGATTTGTTCTCGAAATCGTTTAGTGACACTATTTTAATGTCACTATAAGCCATTTTTTACTAGTGTCTTGCTCATATTAGAAATAGGCCTCCCTTCTTGCATCAATACTGCCTCAACCCCTATTCCCAATGCATCAGCGTCCACAACAAGTATTTTATTGAAATATGGTGTGTGTAATACTGGCAGAGTGGTCATAGCCAGTTTAACGCAAATTATACCGTACACCCGGATGTACGGTCCTCACCGTACATCCGAGTATTTTTGCAATTAATTACAATTCCAATGGTTCATACTCATTCCACCGAACGATGTCTTCCGCATCTGAATTCCTTCCCACGGCGCATCTTCATTCCCCGGCGAATTCTGCCTCTGGTTCTTCTCTTTAGAATTGTAATTATTCTTTTAAAATTTATAATTTTTTCTTGTTGAAAGGAAAAATCACTTTCTCTTGTGATTATAAAACCAATGGATCCTTCTAAGCCTAATTACTCTACTGTTTTAGGTGTGTAAAATTCACAAGTGCTGCTATTCTATTTTTTTGTTCTCTTTTTTTGTTTTGGCGCCATCGAGATGAAGAGTAATTTTCCGGAATTCATATATGTCGATCGAATAAAATTCAGACTACAATTATCTGATCGATGGCCATCTTAAATCATTGAGTTTCAGCCTTATATGAAATGTTAATATTATATTTTAACATTGTCTGTTAATATTTTACAACTTCTCATTTCGTAATTTATGTGTGCTCATTTGAAATTGGTGTAATATTCATTTTAAAATGACATATTCATGCATCTCTCAAACATATTATACTACATTAGATTCACATTAAAAATGAGTTTTATGTTAAATTCAAATGAGTATAACGTCCAAAATGAATGAGCACACAAAAATGCGTTTTTAAATTTTTTGATACTCATTTCGTAGGTTATGTATGCCCATTTGGTAGTAATTGTATGCTCATTTTAAAATGTCATATCAATAATGAATATTTTAAAATTATTATACTACATTAAATTTGCAGATGCTCAATAAAATAGGTCAGATGCTCATTAAAAGTACATTATTGCTCATTTAGCGGAAGCCGTCCGTTTTCACTTAAATTACAAAAATGTCACCGAATTTTTTTTTGTCCTGAATCAGTTAATGGGTTGTCTCCCTTAGTTGGGCCGGGTGTACGTACATGTAGGCACGGGCCAATTTAAGTTCTTCAAATGCTTTTTTGGCAGGCTGTGTCCATTGAAATTATCCTTCTTTAATAGACAATTCAAGGGAGGTGCTATCTTACTGTAACCGTTCAAAAATCTCCGGTAATGCCCCGTTAACCCAAGGAAGCCTCTTAAGACCCTGATATCATTTGGTAGTTCCCAGTTCAACATGTCCAAGATCTTGATGGGATCCGTAGCCACTCCTTCTCTCGAAATAATATGTCCCAAATAGGCTAGTTGTTTTTCGCCCAAATGAACATCTTTTTGATTTACCTCCAACTGGTTTAGCTTAAGTATCTTCAGCACCTTCCTCAAGTGATCTTTGTGTTCCTCTTCTTTTTGGTTGTATACCAAAATGTCATCAAAGAAATGTTCATTAGGTGACGGCCGAGGTGCCGCGGTATGGAGACGGTCGCGACAAGCATACATGGAGACGGCAGTGGTGGTTAGGTGTGTAGGCATGGGGATTGCCACGGCGTCGTGGCATGGGGGTTGCGGGGGCGGCACGTAGGCATGGGAAGAGCAGCGACACCGCAGCATATCGGCATATGGATGATCGCGACAAGCAGACATGGAGACGGCGGTGGTGGCTGCGTGTAGGTGCGTAGGCATGTGGACGACGTCAGCACATGAGGACGGACGTAGCGACGAGGGAGTTAGGTGTCGCAGCGACAGAGGAGGTTGGTTTTGGGGCGACAGGGGTCGAGAGGTTGGGGCAGCGGGTACCACGATGTTGAGAGCACGGGTGCCACAGCGACAGAGGTGGCGGGTGCCGCGGCGGCAAGATAGTAGAGGAGAACAACTAATGGTAGGGTTTTGAGAAAATGAATAGCAAATTAGGGTTTTATAATATCTATCTAAGGGTATATTAGCCTATAAAAACTATTTATTTATGGGAGATTTCCCAAAATAGGAGTAAATGAAGTTTGAAATTCCAAAATAGGACTACTTTGTTTTTATTCCCGAAATGTGACTAACATGTCAAATAGTTGCAGTACAGTGCATTTACATGACAATATTTATTATAATTAATGACAATATTTTTCAATCATTGTAGAATTTTTCATACATGACAGTAATAACTCCTATTTCGGAAAAAAAAATATTAGTCCTATTTTTGGAATTCCAAGTGTCATTTACTCCTATTTTGGGTAATTTCTCTTTATTTATTGATTTCCCTTTATTTATGAGTTAATTATCAAAATAGGACTAAAAGTCATTCACTTTTCACAAATAGGACCAAAAAATAAACTATGTTTGCATAGGACTAATTATGTGTACCTTGGACAATTATACCCTTATAGCTATTAAAATGTTTTAATTCCTAATAAAATAATAAAAAATAATAAAAATTCGTAAAAAATACTAAAAAATTAAGAAAAACATTTCGATATTAAAAATTTAATTAATTTTTTTTTTTCAAAAAATTAAAAAAATTTAAAAAATTAAAAAAAAAATTAAAAAAAAAAATAAAAACTCAAAAAAAAATCGTCGCCGCCTCTGCCGCCTCAGCACCACCACCTCCAGTCACCAGGGAAAAAAATGCCAAGTTCATTACGAATGTCATATTTATGGCAGAAAAAATGAAAATGTTGGCATTCGAAAAGAGAAATATGCCACTTTTTTGGCATTTTCAGAAAAAAATGGCATTTTTCTGGGAAAATGACATTTTTTTCATCGGCCGGAGGTGATGGTGCTGGGAGGTAGTACAGGCGCTGGGAAAGACATCCATATTTTTTTAAATTTTTTTTACGGAGTTTTACTATTTTTTATGAATTTTTTTAAAAATAAAATTATTTTTTTAAAAAAAGGTTTTTGAATTTTTTATTTTATAAAAATTTTATAAATTTTTTAATTATATTTCTACGAATTTTTGAATTTTTTCCGAATTTATTATGAATTAAACATTTAATTATGGCTTTTGACTATTTTTAATTCATATTTAATGGAAGGGTAAGAATGGAATGCAAAAATAGGTATGTTTCCAATAGGACTCATATGGTCCTATTTTGGAATAAAAACATAGCAAGTCCTATTTTAGATTTTTGTCATAGTTTTAGTCCTATTTGAACTAATTTCTATTTATTTATTGATTAATTAAGTAAATATTACGAATTGAAATTAATTAATTAACTTCCCAAACTTTTAAAATTATGTCACTTCCATAGAGAGTACATCCTTCTAAATGCCGTTTATGTTTCTTCCTCACATTTTCTTTCCCTACCCTTCCCATCCAAAATACCAGGCAGCGGAAGATCAAGATTCTGCACTAACAGCCAAGTTAGAATCAAGATTTGAATTTTTGATAAAACCCTCACTAATCCACACCCATTTTCTGAAGCTGCAGAACCGTCAACAATGCCGTCATCGACCTTCAATCTCACCTTCTGGGTTCTACTAGGCTTCATCTCTTTCATCTTCACCTCGCCTGCAATGTTCACTACCAGTGACACGTTCTTGCCCTCTAATACCAATAATATCACACTAATGGGCGACGCCTACTTCTCCAACTGCTCCATCACTCTCACCCACGGCGAAAACTGCAGCACACCACCGGACGCCTCTTTTTCCGGCTTTGGGAGAGCTTTCTACGCAACCCCTATTCGGTTTCTTGATACTGTAACGAATTCCGCAGTTTCTTTTTACTCGAGCTTCTCTTTCACCATCACCCCTTCTTGTTCCTTCGGCGATGGCCTTGCATTGTTGATCACCTCCGATCCTAACTCATTCAGCCGCTCTGGTGGATTGATGGGCCTCCCGAACTCTCAAGACTCTTTCTTGGCGGTGGAATTCGACACCAGTTTCGACCCTTTTCTTGAGGACCTGAATGATGACCACATTGGGGTTGATCTCAACAGCGTCAAATCTCTGGCCTCTGTTGACATGGTTCCGCGAGGGGTGGATTTGAGAAGTGAGAGAGAGATGACTGCCTGGATTCAATACATAGATCAAGAAAGGGTGATAAGGATATGGGTCGGGTATAACTCTGAAATCAGGCCAACAGACCCGATTCTGGAATGCCAGATTGACCTTTCCCATGAATTCAAAGAATACATGCACATCGGCTTCACCGCTTCCAACGGGAAAGGCTCATCCGCAGTTCATTCAATCCAACACTGGAAATTCAAGACCTTCGATTTCCTCGCTTCCTCCACGTCTGAACCCATGAACACATTCGATGAATCGGATTGCTTGATGTGCTTCCCTCGCCTTCCAGCCTCTCATGGTTCAAACCCACACAAGAAAAAGAAATTCCTCAAATCACCACTCACTTACGCAGGTTTATCTGCTGCAGCTGTGAGTTTGGTGTCTGCTATTGCCATACTTGTCTGGGTCGGCCTGAAAAGGAGGAAAAGAAACAAAAGAGAAGGAACACAAGTGCAGATGTGCAGATTTCAGGGAAACAGAGTGCCCCAAAGATTGTCTCTTGAAGAGATAAAATTAGCCACAGAAGGGTTCAATGAGGAGAGAATAGTTGGGGAAGGAGCATCAGCTGTTGTGTACGAAGGATCGATCCCCGCTCGCGGACCTGTCGCTGTTAAAAGATTCACCCACGGTAATAATAGAATTTACCCTTCTCACATTCCCTTCTACACAGAGTTTGCATCAATGGTGGGATGCTTAAGGCACAAAAACCTGATTCAGTTACAGGGATGGTGTTGTGAGAGGAATGAACTGGTTTTAGTTTACGAGTTTATGGCTAATGGAAGTTTAGACAAACTCTTGTTTACCAATTCAGCTCCTGGTTTCCTCACCTGGGAGAGAAGGTTGAATGTCATCCATGGGGTCGCCTCTGCTCTTGTGTATCTTCATGAAGAATGTGAGAATCAGATCATCCACCGGGACGTGAAATCGTGTAATATAATGCTGGATTCCGATTTCAATGCCAAACTTGGGGATTTTGGTCTGGCGGAGGTGTTTGACAAGTGCAGGGCGAGGGATAGTACTGTTCCGGCGGGTACAATGGGGTACATAGCCCCGGAGTACGCCTTTTCCGGCGTCCCGACGGTGAAAACCGACGTGTACAGCTTCGGGGTGGTGGTGCTGGAGGTGGCGTCCGGGAGGCGGCCGGTGGATGAGAATGGGGTGGTGATTACGGACTGGGTGTGGGATTTGTGGGAAAAGGGTCGGGTCACGGAGGCGGCGGATCCGAGACTGGCGGGTCGGTTTGACAGGGAGGAGATTGACCGGGTGGTAATGGTGGGTCTGGGGTGCGTCCACCCAGACCATGAGAAGAGGCCGACGGCTAGGGAAGCGGCGAGGATGCTGAAGGGGGAAGCTCCGGTCCCGATTCTTCCGGCGAGGAAACCGACGATCAGGATTCAATCTGTGTTGCCGGAAGGGTGTGCGGAGATTATGAATCCTCCACCGCCGTTGGATGATGATACTGAACCATGGTCAACCCCAAAGACTCATTTCAGCAGCCGGACCGGAAGTACGAATCGCTTCTAAGCTAGATCTAGATATAGAAATACGTGCCAGTGAACTTCTGCCGTAGATCAGCTCCCAGCTTAAACACAATTACCTGTTTTTTTCAATTCCATACAATTTTTTTTACTCATATGAATTGATGATGTATATGAATATGTGATCGATGTGTTCAAAGTGTCTGATCTTTATATACCACCAATACTTCGATACGTTGACATATCACCGTACAAAAGGTGGAATCTTCCACCCCATGAGCCCCTAGTCCGACCTGACAGGATGATGGAGAAGTTAATTACGGTGATTCAGTCATCAAAACGGCGGTAGGCCTTATACACGTGCGCACCAGAAGTCCAGCCTTATTTCAAGTTCTGTAACCTCCACACGGTCGTTGCGGGTTTTGAACCTTGGTCACTTGGTTCAATTTTCTCACTACTCGACCAGCTACTCGTGCGGGTATCTCATATACCCGTAAGTACGTACTCCGTTATTGCTCATTTTGAAGAGAAATCTTTGAAATTTAATTAGAACCGTTGGTTTATGTTATTGCTGTTATTTTTTATGAACCTTTTGAGTTATATATGTGCAAAAACCTCTTATTAGACGTAAATATACCCTGTATGGTACCTCTATAATAAAGAGTATAACTTTCAAATGTGTCAACGAATCAAGTTGCTTGTGAGTAACTCGTGAGACACAGACTTCGTCAAAACTTAACTCAAGTTCAGACAAAGTTGAATTTGACCTTGCAATTCCTCAACATATGGTGTTTGATAAAGTTGTAGAGTTTTGTAGTTTTTTCTTCTCAGTAGTGAAGTATTTCAATGTAGTTTGGCTTTTCTTTCCAAAAGGACAAAAATGGTTTGGACTTTCTGGGGTTTTAGGTATGAAATAATGCTTTATTTGCTAAAAAGAATTGAATGTCCATTCTAAGGCAGGTTTTTACGTGTCAGCTGCAATTAAACAGTTCATTTAATGTAGAGGCCCTAACATTTGGTGCTTTGGTCGTCTTCATTGTTCCAAAAAAGGTGTAATCTCCCACCCCAGGAGCCCCCCACCCCGACCCGACAGGATGGTGGGGAGGTTAGTCACGGTGACTCAGTCAGCAGAATGGCAGTAGGCCCATACACCCGTGCACACCAGAAGCCCAGCCTTATTTCAGGTTCTGTGACCTCCACCCGATCGCTGCGGGGATTCGAACCTTGGTCCATTGTTCCAAATCTCCCACCACTCGACCAACTGAGCTACCCGTGCGGGTAAGCTTTGGTCGTCTTCACTCTTCACTGCATAGTCACATTTGATAATAAGAAAAAAAGGTTTTGCGGCAAGCAGGGATTATATTTGATACCTCATACCTCCCACTTAGTGATCCTTGATATGGTCACCAAATATAGATGCATGTATTATTATTTTTTCTTGTTTGTACTTCATCGGTCCTGAATTTAATTGCAAACTTTGACTGGCACAAGAATTTAGGAATGATAATAAATTATTCTTGCTTTTTACACTTTTATCCATTTTCCTAAAAGTAGATGTCTTTAATTTAATGGAGAAAAAATAAAAGTAAGTGCAAATTTGTCACTTTATTCTTATTTACATATCTAAAATAGAAAGTGGAAAATCATTTTGGGACAACCAAAATAGGAAATTTTGCAAATCAAATTGGGACGGAGGGAGTATTACATTTGTCCCAACATGTGTTTATGGTTTATCTGAAACAAGTTTTATTTTCCCTCATTCCTTTATACGTAGTACAAAACAACATGCTTGTATTTTTAGAGTTGAATTTCTTGATCGAGTTAATCAATGGGTTATACGTTTTTAGAGAAAGACTTCAATAGCGGTAGCAATAGGGGGAGGCTGACGGAGGCCTTGACCCATGCAAGAAAAATATGGTGATGTATACAGTGGCGGACCCAGAAAATCAGGGTCACGAGGTCACTAACTTAACGTAACTCTAATTAAAAAAAAAGTAAAAAATTAAGAGCCCGTTTGTTGACCTTGTTTTTTGGCTTATCAAGCTTATCAGTCAACTTATTCACAAAACACGCAACCTTTGATTTCGCACGCTAAATTATATAATAATAAGAAAAAACAAGGTTAAAGTTACTTTTCTAGCCGTATTGACTGAAGTTACTGTATAAAATTAGTTTAGTTATCTTCCATATAAATTTTTCTTTATTTTTATAGTAAAATATATTTTAAATATTTTTTTCATAGATCACTAGAATCAGTCAATCCGGTCACTTCAACCAGAATTTCATAAATTTCAATAGAATCCGTCAGCCGATTTGAGTATTATCAAACAAGCTCTAAGATAGTCATAACACACAAAATTACATATATATTTCATTCTACAATTCTACAAATGTACCTTCTTGGGTTTCAACATGTTGGTCTTGTAGATAATTAGTCAAATTAATTTCACATTCAACAACAATTTGATCCAATTCTTCATTTAATAATGGTTAATCATTTGAGTTAACGTCAGATCAACTTCATGTGCTCCAGATTTCTTTAAATCCAGGTACACAATTGAAATATTTTTTCATCCTAAATCGTAAAATATTGAAAAGAACTATTCATAAATATCATACATTTAATAATTTAATCTTAATACTCAAAGAAATTTTAATAATTAATCCAAAAAATTGAATTATGCAAGTGTAAACTTCAAAATAACGA